GTTGTTTAGTTTGTAAACAAACTAGGGTTTGTTGGATGATGACTAACATCGTCATTCAGATAATTAAATATATATAATGTGAACCCATTCTGTCAACGAACGAAATTAATCTAGACAATTTGTGCAACGCAACTCGAGCTTGTTGGTCGCGTAAACACGTGTGTTAACTACCAGTCACAAATACTCAACTACTATATACGACTACCGAACATGGGTAGTTATTTTGAGTTCCAAAGAACTATTAAAGTGGATGACTAGGTATACAAAATGATCCATTAAACGTAAGCCATCCATTTTCTGTTAAAATAACTGCAATTTAGAACCAACATTTTAGTACCCAATCTTTCTTTTTTCGAATACAATAAAAAATGATTTATACTTACTAAAATAATAATGAATATTATTTTTTTTAATTGTATTATACTTACATTTATCCCACTTGATTTTAAACATTTTGAGTTGGGTTTAATAAACACACTGAGTTCACACTTAAAGTTTGATAAATTTAAAATGAATTCTTCAAACCTGGTTATACTCAGTCAAAATGTTCAGCAAATTATTCTTCTTTTAAAAAGTTATTTACATATTTATATTTTATATATTAGAGTTCTGAAAATATTTGGTGATTTTATAATATCGTACAATAATATAAATGCAAATTCTTTCAAAAGAAAAACTGTAATTTTTTTACGAAAAATGAATACCTTACGTATAGTAAATTATTCAAGATAGTGTCAAGTGCTAATCTGAAGTTAACAAACACTCCTCTTGGAACTTTCTAAGAATTATGCTCTCTGACAATAATTAGTCATTTATCTTCAAATACTTCAATCCTCATTAAGGTTTTTATAGTTTACAATACATAAAAAAAATGATACAAAGTAAACAGAGCACTCTGTATACTAAAAAAAAGTAACTCAACTTCAAAAATACCTTCTTAAAATTTCAATTTACAAAAAAAAAAATCTTAAACTAGGTGTTTCCTAATTGTTAGCTTTATTTACCAGGTCTTTAAGTATCTCTAAGTATCTTAAGTTAACTCTAAACTATTAAATAACGAATTTTATTGTTTTATAATATGTATAGGTAGTACTGTAATTATTTAAATTAATAACATTCTACACGCTAGTAAAATTGCAATTTTTTTAATCATAATATAACAAAGTTAAGACTTAAAAACTGTAATAGTTACATGTCACATTTAGCTATTCACATATGCTAATCGGTAGGTTGTTCTTTTAAGTAAAAATGTTATAAATGTACAATATAAATACATATCCTCCACATAATTAAGTACATCTTATCTTAACTCGATATATAACATAAACATATCACTTTAAAAATGACTTTATTTCTATAGTTGTAATATTATATTCGACTAATATATTATTATATAAAATGCTTCAATAATATTATTAAATAAAAAGATAAATAAAACGATCTAAATTTGTCAAATATTAAAATAATAGACCAACAAATGTGAAAAACGCTATAGAAAATTAATTTAATACATAATATGTTTTTAATTATTTTATATTCTGTTGAAGCTATCTTAATATTAATAATAGTTCTTATTTATAAAAAACAGAATAATTGGAAAATTAAAATGCACAAACTAATAATTAAGTTTTGTTTTGCCGTCGTCAATTTGTCATCAAAACGTTATAAAACAAATTAAAAATAAAAAGTACAAGTTTTTTTTTGAAATGACATCATTATTGAAATTTACTTAAACTTAAACATTCCAGGATCTCATTCTTTCTAATCCCTATTTCATCTATTATAAGTCAATTTTTAATATAATTTAAATTTATTATTGATGCAGTAAATAAAAAAATTAATTTTAATAAATTATAATAATTATCAATTTAGCATTTACTATAAGGCTAAAGTTTTTTTTATCTAGTAAGTAGATTGATTTCATGTTCTTATTAGAAACCTACCTAAGATATAGTGTTCGTAAAATGGTTTTTATTTAAACTGGTTTTTTTATCAATTCTTAATTGTCTATCATTAATCGTTTATAGCGTAACGCGTTTAAAATTAGACTATAATCATAATAATAAAATTATTATTAAAAAAAAAAAATGCAAAATCTTGTATAAAATCGTTCGGCATATTTGTATAATAATATAGCTTTGTAATAGTTTTTTTTTTTAGAATAGTGTCTACTTCCTCTTCTTGTTATTATAGTATAGAGTATAGACGTTATAGATATTAGATAGTTGCGGCACCCCGGGCTCTTAGACGGTATAACCTAATACGAGTAAAATATGTTTGCGCATTGCCTTTTAGAAGCATATGTATAATATAGGTTTTTTCAGAATTAATTTAGTAGACGGTATTCGTGAATTTTAATTATATTTTTAAAAAAAATAATAATTAATAGCGCAACGCTAAACGACAAGTCTTGAAGCGTTCTGAATTTTTTACACTGCTAAAATGAATGAAAAAAAAACTTGAATTACATTTTTAAACGTTCCGGCATGTGCTCCTGTTAGAAAAGATTACAGTTTTAAATAATTTGCTTTGTATAGCTGTATGTACAAAATGTGAAAATTATTATTGTATATAAATATTTATAAAATATTTATAAATTGTTTGATAAGTTCTATGCGGAATACGAATGAGGTGTAAATATAGGTAATTAATAATTATGTTCTCGAATAATTGAGTTTCATATCATCACCCTGTTGATTTGGTCGGATGTCTCTTCCAACATTTCACGTCCAATAGTCGGTAGTTATTAATATTTCTAAGTGTGCACGCATAAGCCATAACGATAATTGTTTCGGCCATACATTAGTGTAATAATTATGGCGGGAAAATACATCAATTAGTCAATGGTTAGCCGACCATTTGCTGGAGAAAGTCGCTACTTGGCGATAAAAGTTAATATACATTTTTTGGTCTGTCACGTTTATAATGGCTATACGATACGCTGTCATATTTTAAGAATAAACAGGCGGGTTTTTCAATTTTGCTAGAATCTGTTCATCTGTCATTTCTCATCGTTGGATTTAACGGGTATACGGTGTCATTAGTGTAGATATTTAGAAACAAAGCCAATTTTATCATTTTAGTCGGTTCCTCAATTTTTGGGCTACTTTCAATGCGTGTTGTACACACAAAATTGTACCGAAATCTTAAAGAATTTTATGAACATGTGCAAGTGACACATCCTAAAGATTTCGACGAAATCGGTAGGTATTGTTTTCTTTAGCGTACCGCTGCGTAATTAACAGTTTTTGACAAGTTTTCTACTAAACTGTCATTTTGAAGGTCGTTGACATGATATTGTAGCATTAAACCTATTTTCTTTATACATTTTTACTACAGAAATAGTATAGGTACATAATAGTGTAATCGGTACATTGTATTATTATCCTGATAATGTGTGTTGAACTTGACGAGAAATTGTTTATATTAATATCGAACAATTATCTTATCTGCAAACTCAATAAATTAATCATTTCATTGTATTGGGAAAAAAAATTCCCCACGTTGCGTTGTATTAGTTTCTGACCTCAACACTTACAATCTCAATTATTATTGTAATAATATTATTTATATTACCAATTTGTATGATGTATTATAATTGGGGAATTTATCCAATAAAAAGAAAATTAATAACATTCCAAGCAAAAATCGTGTGAAACCAAAATACTACAAAGCTGGACAGCAAAGGCGGAGCAAAATAAGTCGGTTGATGACTGAAAAATTATAGGTTATGTATAAATCTAAGACATCAGACCTGATTTCAGTCTAACCTTTCGATCACAACATCGAAAACCGCGTCTAACTTTTAACAGAAATTACTTAATACTTATAAATATTTCTAAGACTAAATACAAAATATTCGAATTCGCATATTTAAATGGTCTTGACAAAAAAAAACAGACTATTCTTTGATCAATATTATGGCAATGGAAAAAATAACTGTGTAAAATATACTTTTTTTTATAAAATTATTCATTATTTAAATAAACCCTTTGACCACAAAAATAATTCTCTATAGCGTATACGGTATTTAGGTAGCAATATACCAGCAGCGCATACAACAAACTATCTGTCTTGACTCGTCTGTTATATGCGCTGATGATATTAACTTGCTGCCGAAATACGTTTACGCTATAGAGAATTATGTTTGTGGTTAAGGGTTTATTTGAATTTTAATTATTTTATGATATATAACCACAAATGTTGTAATTTTACAAATTATGATCTCAAGCTATTCACCATTACCGGCGGTTCTCGACGTTGACGTTTATATCAAGAGTAGGTATTATAAGAATGACCGAGATAACTTCACAGCACGTATAAAGCAATAAAAAAATAATTATTAATTAACGGGGGTTTTTTTTTTAATAGGTTTGGAACAACTCGGGCTCGGAACAACACTCGGCGGGTTTCAACTATTGCAGTAATCGTATTCGAGGCCGACACATAAGTCTATGACAACACGTTCAATTGCAATCGACATGATACATCACATGCAATTTCAATGTCAACAGAGTGACGTTTTTTTCCAACCCACGATGACTACATGTCGGTTACCGGGGAATACCGTAAAAAGCTACCGCCAAGTTCCGGCGGCCTTCCGTCACCAAAGTTACTGTGTCGACGCCACGGCGACCACGGCTCTCCACCGGTTAGAGGAACCCGCGTAAGTATATATTGTGTCGCCATGACCGTGTGTGTATGCAATAGTAGGTACTAGGTAGGTATATCTGAAAATGCCCCCGAGGAAAAATCGTTGGTACTCTCGTCGCACACAAAACTGGTTTCTAAACTCGAGACGTTCAGAGTTCCTCTTTCGACAACAATATTATTATTATTATTATTATACATGTACACGGCAGCGCGTATAATATTATATTATGCTCTGTTCGGCCCACCCGTTCCACCGCCACCGTCTCTACCTACTTGTGCTCCTACTCTCTGCCTATGCCACCACCGACCACGGCCGTATCGTGCCTAATTAACGACCGACCGGTGAACGCACGCACGGCATCAGTGTATTCAAGACACACGTTGAGACGAGTCGTTCATCTACTACTCACACACAATCTTACACACGAGCCGACTTGACCGTTTTGAAAAATAATCCAAAAATTGTCTTTGAACTCTGTTGTTTTCATTTTTTTACCGCGTCCGTCCGCGTCCGATCGTCCACAGTGATGCGCTGTTAAAACAGACGGATTAACGCAAAAAGAGACTTCAACGTTGTCCTTGTAGCGCTGCCGCGACAATCATGCGAAACAAGTAAGTAATCGACAATCGTGTTTACCATTAGCATTTTTTTCATTTTTGCGCAATACTATGTTTTTGTATATCGTTTTTAATTCCCGAGATCTATGGATCATAGCTGTACAAAGAATATCATTAATCTCTGTGTACAATTGTTTATGAAAGGCACGCAGGGTTATCATGTTTAAGTCGCAGGTACTTCGCGTCAGTGTCGTAGCCAGGAACATATAGGACGGGCACGCAAACTGCCGACTGTTGTTAAAATATTACAGGACTCCATAACTAATGCTCTGCTGTCCCCGAAAATAAATTTCTGGCTACGGTACTGCTTAGCGGATTATTCAGGTGGCATACAAATGTAGTGAAAAGAATCTGTGTCGAAAATCAATGTGAAATGTCGCTCGGGGACACTGCACAGACCATAACAATAATAATAAAATAAAACATTTGTCTTATTGTCTGTTGTATTTTGCGTCTATGTCGCATATAGCGACAAGGTTCGACTAGGAGTCCGGGCGGTGCACAAAAACATTACATTATAATATTAATTATTATAGAAAAAACCCGAAGGCTTTAGGCCTTAGACCTTAGTTTTCACTTTTGTCGACCGGTCCGCGACTTTGGTTTTTAGGCCATTTAATTATTTTAACGTCCATTGCTCCACTTGTGCTATTTAAAGTTTTGTAAGAATTTAGTAAACTAAACAAGTAAACATTTGTAATACCTTTATCATTGTGGTGATATTATGTCAAATAAAAATCAGTTAAATGGATTAATAGGTAATGTATGTTGTTGAATTGCGCAAATTGTGATAGTTGATTGAGCAAATACAGGTGGATTCATGTGTTTGGCATCCCTAGGGCTAATGAAAAATGCCCATATGCCCATAAGGAAAGGGAGGGGGGTTAAACTATAGTAACCTGACACCCCTAAAATAGAGTCGCTATATGACGATAAGCCTGGTAGAGTGTGAGCTGCCAAAGTGATGAGAGAGCGTGACTGTTAAAAATGTGGTTAGGACTAAAATGGAAACCGTTGAACGTCAACTCTATAAAAACATCGGTTTGCTCAAAAACAACTTTTAGAGCTGATCAAACTCATATAAGATATATATGATCCATTGGTTAATACTCAAAACTCTAGGTCGATCTCCTCGGGTTGTTTTGATGGATAAATTAGTTGAAAAAAACTCATAACAGTTACGACAACACAGTGAGTATGGGTTATAGTGATTTTGGGAGTTCGGCGACACTGGACTTTCGGCAAGGTCAATTACCACCTTGTGTGTACACTTTAAACAATAGAAGCTTATTGTCGTGGTACATATATTAGAAAACACTATATTATGTACTCATGGTATGTCCTGTAATAATAACCCCTGGCGGCAGTCTCTGTGCCGTTAATGCGTTAGTAAACAAACCAAAACTACAAAGATGCGCGCCCTATCCACAAAAACACATTAGTCTTAAAATCAACAAAAACTTATAAAACAAAAGGGTTAAGACTATATTGTCGGTGCCGTCTCGCATGACTATATTTTGGAGGAGGTTTTTTTTTGTATTTGAACTATTTTTTACCTCTTGACCGTTTGCGCTGAAGAAGATAATATTAAACTATACAGTTGTTTTTTTCGTGTTTAACAATTATTATTATTATTATCATCGTGTACGTGAAGAAGATCTGAATAGACGAACGTGTTACCGGGTAATAACAATAATTGTATTCCACCGATCGTGGACGGGTGCCGAGGAATTTTCAAGCATTTCCATAATAATAATAATAATGATAATAACGAATACTAATATCCGTTACGGGATCCGGTTTTTAAGGCATTTTTGTCATTTGGGGGCCATCGGCCATCTGTTACGCTGGTCTTTGACCAACGGGTAACGTCATGTGGCCTAGCGACACCTTACCTAACACAACCAACTCGTATGAAGTCGTGTGTAAAAACCATAAGGATCACGAAATTCGGCTACTCAAGTTGTTATATGTTATTACTATTGTACTATACGCCCACCAAAAAAGTCCAAACGTTTTCTTCTCACATTGCAAGACAGGCGTAGGCGTCGAGACACAACCGAGGTTGTGGCACGATAATTAATTATTCATTATACCATACCGTTGCGTATGCCCGGGAACTTTTGTCCGGTTGTAACAATATAATTTCAGAGGACGACCGTATAACATCGGCCGGACCTTTCTACGGATAATTAAAATCGCGTTTCCTCGACTGTCGTGTCAGGCCCATATATCTCGTACATATATACATATGAATATATATTATATACACACACACATAAACAATCGGTATTATGATGGTATACCGCCTGGGGCATCGTTAAATAATTTCTCCCGTTTCGACAAATGAACAATTAGCAGGTACACACCCCACTTCGCCTCTGGGCACTGGCCAAATAGCTTTAGATAAACGGTTTTCGGATAAGCGCTAATATTCGTTTACAATTATTATTGCTCAACGCCGTTATAATATTATGTACTTAACCGGTAGCCGAGTCGGAGGCAAATAAATATACTACAATAATAATAATTGTTAATATTGTCGTACACGTTTATGTGAACACACGAACATAAAATTATCTCGGAGGTTTTTTTTTTTACCCTTTTTATTGTTATTTTTTTTTTTGTCACCATTCCTCACCTTGTCCCCGGTTATTATAGACATGCAGGCATGTAACAAAATCGTAAAACAGTCTCAGAAAAACTGTAAAAAAAAACATTTGGAAAAAAAGACACTAGGTATACATGAAGAAAACGTGTTGTTGATCACAGAAAACCCAAAAACGGATTATTCACTCGATTTACGACGATATTATTTAAGTCGTAAACCGAGGACTTTAGCCGAATGGATTTTTTTTTGTACTCGAAAATATTATAAAGAAATGTATTAGGGTACTACCATGAAATATGTATACTGGATACTGTAGTGGTTAGCAAGTCAGGACGTCATCACTGGTAAGGTATAAGGAATGATCATAGTTTATTGATAACAGCTGTTGTAGATGAACGATAACAACTGGTAATAATTACTATTGGGTAGCACCAAATAGCAATATGTCATGCAGTATATAATAAATAGGCCAATTGTAAATTCAATTTATTTTAATACAAATAACCAAGTTTTTAATTTTAAAAAAAATATGTTATGTTTTGATCATAATGTGATTTCAACACATTACAAACTATAATAAAACACAAAAACCTGTTGGTAATTCTTATTAAATCGTAATAATATGTATTTTATTTTATGTACAATTACTATATTATTGGACCATATAATTTTTTAGCAATACACGTGTAACAGTCTTTAGAAAATTAAGTATTTGTTTTCTTTCACGATTTTTTTAGGAATTATCAAAAAAAGTACATAGAAACAATTTTCGACTTAACTAATCTAAAAAGACAAGAGATACGATTACACATAGAAAGAGCGTCTATTTTCGCAGAGTTACTTCCTCATCCACTGACAGGCCTTTTGACAGCCTTGCGTGTGCGAGTCACTTACAAAACCATTAGCGTTGGGTTATTTTGACATTATACAAATTCAACAGTAGTGTTGCAATTGTTTGGCGAAAATTCCTAAAACGTTTTTTTAATATTCTCCGCAAATGACGCGCTAATGCAGGTAAAATACCGTCGTTTCCAACATTTCCTACGGGTTGACGCCGACGCTTTTTTTAATAAAAATGTTCAAATTGCATAAGACGGCCTTGTCGTGTCCATATGAGGGCGATCCTTATTTAGCGAGGCCGAGCTCACTGGTGTATATATTATTATTATCGTTATTGTATTGCTGTTGTTATCTAACGCATTAACGCGGCTCGTCCTACCGAATTCTAATTATTTATTCCGACACGTTCAGACACTATCCGGTACTCTCGATTTTTTACATTTTTTTTTTCCCAACCATTAGGGGTATAGTAGGATATTGTGTTTGGGCAACAGCGTCCAGTGGCCCGTAAACACGTGTTAACAACGTCCCATAGTAAATGGGGTAGTAATCGACCCTGAACAAATTAACACAAAAGACCGGATAGCATCGGAACAGAACACGGTACAATAACCGTGGAAACGGCGGCGGCTTATCCTCTAAAAAATCTTACAAAATTTTACCACGTTTGTCCACGGAAGTCTATTGTAGAACCGTCTGTCTGCTCGGTAAACTATTTTTTTATGATGATAATAATAATAATAGGACCAATTATTTATGTCTGGTGAAATTCGTACTGCTTCAAAAAAACGTTTAGACTTCTTAATAGGTATTTTTTTTTTTTTTTGGTAAGTTTTTTCGAAATACACAATACTCTTACTAAAAACAATAATAAAAAAAAAACATTCCACTATTTCTTCTCCCTTCCTTCTAACCCAAGACCCGAATCGTCCAGTTGTATGTTAAAATGATTTTAGTTCTAAATATCAAATAAATGCGACCGTTATAACCAATTTTAGACCTTGGTAGACCATATTGATTTTTTTTTTTTTTTTTGGTCGAATTTTACACCGTTGAGCGACACAGAGGAAAATAGCTTGCCATCAAGTCTGAACGTTGTAATATTTTTTGTCGATAAGAAATATAACAATTTTGTTAGGTAGGATTAGGTTAAATAAAACCACTGTTTAGCGTGATGAGCTTCGATAAACTCAGTGTCACTTGCAGAATGTTTTTTTTTCACAAGGTTTTTGTTACTGCTAAAATATGTTTTTCGACGATTGAAAGTTTTTTTTTCCTTTGACCAACGCCTACGCAGATGAATCAGCGGTGGCCGTGCCCCTCGCCTTACTCTACTTCTATATTTTTACCAACGCCTTATATTTTATTTTTTTACCCGTGGGCCGTCTCGTTTCGAAACCGATTAAAGCGAGTGACACGACGATTCGTATACAAATTCAAAATTCGTTATTATTAATTGATTTTCACATGTCGATTGACAGATAAACATCCGCTTGGATTTCGACGGACCCGTAAACAGTCCCGAGTGTGTTTAAACCATTCC